GTTTCCTTTGTGCTTCCTTTCTCAAGATTTAGGTTTTTTTCGCTTCTTTCTTTCTGAATAGTGCGAAAACAGGACTTTGTGTAGTGTTTAAGGCAGCTCCTTGGTTGAGTTGACTGGTGATCAGATGAAGGCCTGTTCTTATCATTTATTATCCTGCCTTTATTATTCTTTCAAATAACTCAAGGTGGCGAACATACCTAATACGCCTTCCTCCTCCTATTTTCCCCACAACAATAACCCTGCGAGGTGAGTGGGGCTGAGAGAGGGACTGGCTTAAAGTCACCCAGCTAACTTTCCTGGCTAAGGCAGGACTAGAACTCCCCGTCTCGTGGCGATTGGCCCAAAGTCACCCAGCTGTCTTTCATGCCTAAGGCAGGACTAGAATTCATCATCTCCCATTTTCTAGCCTGGCACCTTAAGCACTAGACCAGTGTTTCTCAACTTTGGAAGCTTGAAGATGGGTGGACTTCAACACCCAGAATCCCCCAGCCAGCGCTGCTGGCTGGGGGATTCTGAGAGTTAAAGTCCACCCATCTTCAAGCTACCAAGGTTGAGAAACACTGCACTAGACTAAACTGGCTCTCTTCTGGGTTTTCTGCCTACAGAACGGGTATCAGCCAGCCGTACGAGTCTGGGATATAGAGGAGAAGTCCCAAGTGTCTGAACTTCATGGCCACGAGCATGGCGTGGCCTGCGTGGCCTTCTCTCCCAGTATGAAATACCTTGTGTCGGTCGGGTATCCTCATGACATGAAAGTGAACGTGTGGGATTGGAAGGTAAGAAAGGCTCCTGCAGAAGTTAAGAAGCCCTCCATGGGGAGGAGGCCACGTTCGCAAGTGTCTGGAACACTAGCATCTCCCATGCGAGTCAATGTACCGATTCTACAGCAGAAGAATCAATCCAGATATAATGGGTAGGAGAACTTAGATGCCGTTCTCCCATCCTGACAATCCTGATATGACAGGTTAGGTTTTGGTTTCGCATGTTAAGAGAACTGCGATGTTATGGCTTGGTCATTCGGTCATGGTTAAAAAAAAGCCGCAGTTAGCATTACGTGGCCACCCGCCCAGATTTACAAACTCTGTTTGCAGGATACAGGTACTCCTTGACTTGTGACCACAGTTGAGTCCAAAATTTCTGTTGCTAAGCGAGACCTTTGTTAAGTGAGTTTTGCCCATTTCATGAACTTTCTTTCCAGAGTTGTTAAGTGAATCATTGCAGTTGTTAAGTGAGTCACATGGTTGTTAAGTGAATCTGGCTTCCCCATTGACTTTGCTTGCCAGAAGGTCGCAAAAGGGGATCAGGTGAACTTCCCGGGACACTGTGATTGACATAAATGTGAATCAGTTGCCAAGTGTCTTAATTTTGACCGTAAGGGTGAAAACAGTGAAAAGTCCCTTTTCTTTCAGTGCCCTTGTAACTTTGAAGGATCATTAAGTGAACGGTTGTAAATCGAGGGTGTATTTCTGTCTTGTGCACATCTTACCGCAATTGCTGGGTGGTGTTGATTCCCCACAGAGCGATACCCTCGTTGCATCCAACAAAGCCTCCTGCAAAATTATGGCCATTTCCTTCTCAGAGGACAGTTATTTTGTGACAGTCGGGCACCGCCACGTCAAGTTCTGGTTTTTGGATGGCCCCAGAGAAGTTAAGGTAAGGCTGCACCTTACACCAGGCATCGTGTCTGACCTTGGCAACTTTAAGACCTGTGGAGTTCCTGAGCCAGCCACCAGGGCATTCTGGGAGTTGAAGTCATAAACATGAGCCAGTTGCCAAGTGTTTGAATTTTGATCACATGACCACGGGGGAGGCTGTGAAAAACGGCCCCAAGTCTCTTTTTTTCCAGTACCATTGTGCGTTTGAACAGTTGTAAGTCGAGGACTACCTGCCTAGACTGTGACGATCCCTGCCTTTTACAGATCAAAGAGACGGTTCCACTGGTGGGTCGCTCCGGACTCCTCGGGGAGCTCCACAACAACACCTTCTGCGACGTGGCGTGTGGGCAGGGCAAAATGGCCGGCATCACCTTCTGCATTTCACACTCAGGGCTGCTTTGCCTTTTCAACGAGAAGCGTGTCCTGGAGAAATGGATCGATCTGAAGGCAAGTAGGCTGTTTCGGCTTCTACGCGACGGACGCTTGCTCCTTTGGGATCGCCTTCAAGGCATATTTCCCTTCTTCCCTCCAGGTGACGCTGGCCAATTGCATTTGTGTCAGCGAAGAATTTATTTTCTGCGGCTGCGCTAATGGAACCGTGCGCCTCTTCCAAGCACACAACTTGCATTACCTCTCAGATTTGCCCAAGCCGCACCACCTGGGCACCGATGTAGCTACAGAGCCCATCCTGAGGTACGGTGTTGGTCAGTCTGATCTGGAAAATACAGGGGCACCCGACAGACCCTATGCCACCCTTTTGTGCTCTCTTCACTGCCCAGAATCACCTGGCCAGCTTTCATGGCTAAGGCAGGACTAGAACTCCCAATCTCCTGGTGATTGGCCCAAAATCATCCACCCAACTGGCTTCCGTGCTTAAGGTGGGACTAGAACTCACTGTCTCTCAGTTTCGAACCTGGAGCCTTAACCACAAGACCATAGTGGCTTCCCCAAACATTGCATTTTTCTAGCTCCAGATCCTGCATCTGAGTAAAGCCCTCAGGTATGGGCTTTTTGATTCTTTGGGAAGACCCATCTTTCCACGACGAATTTTTTTCCCCAACCACAGCCAGAGCAGCTAATAGGTTTTGTGGAAGTTATAATCTAGCGCATTGGATTCTCTTGTGCTTCCCACTCCTTCCCCACCCGTCTTTGGTGTTTTCCAGAAGGCCGGATGCCTCCTTTCCAGATGCTATTGCTGTCGTCTTTGACCCTCGCCGTCACTGGCTCTCCTGTGCGTACAAGGATCACAGCGTCTATATTTGGGACGTGAAGGACTTCGGCCACGTCAGGAAAGTGTGGTCTGATCTCTTCCACAGCTCTTTTGTCTGGAACGTGGAGGTAAAGGGCTCCTTCGGCTGGGAAAGGAGGGGGACACCATGAACAAAGTGCTTCCTGGAAGCCACATGCCAAGATCCTGGGTGGTGTCCCCAGAAAGTCTTTTGAGTTGGAAGGGAGGTCCTCTGCTCCCTGAGCAGGTCTCCCTGGTCTGCAGAGCTCAACCCCCATTGATTCTGTGACAAGGATGGTCAGGTCAGCAGGGATGAAAAGAAACCGGTCCCCATGGGGCTCTCTAGAGCAGGGGTGTCAAACTCGATGTCAGCCCCGACACGCCGGGGCTGTCATTCTGGCAGGACTGGGGAGGCCGCTTACCAGCCATCTTGGCTGAACACTCTGCTGCAGCCTTTGGCAGGGCCAGGAACAACTGAGCTTCGGGGCCTCTGTTTGCAGAGAACCATCCATCAGCAGGACTCTCAGACCGAGGGGGAAGAGCCTTGGAATGCAATGTCGGCTGGCTGGGACTGTGAGCGGAACTCGGCTTGTGGGTGGAGCTGCAGGGTGGAGTCACGGGATGGAGCGGGACACTTTAAAAGGTGGTGGGGAGCACTGCGCAATAGCGCTGACAATGCTTCATTCTTCAGGGGTGTTTATTGGATCGTGCCGGAGCACAGGACCAAGAACTCTCTACGACACAGACAGTAGTTGTTTGGAGTCTTATTTTACTGTCCCATTCTGGAACCTGACACTTGATTTCATGGAGGGCAAGCGGCCCTCCCGAGCTCCGTTTTCACTGGTGGATGATTGCAGGAGGCCGTGGCAGCCAAAAACGGAGGTCGGGAGCCTGTTTTCGCGGGCAGAAACACCGCAGGCCAGTCCTTTGCTGTTTCCAGGGTGGCTCTGCGGTTGAGATCTAAGTAACCCCTGAGCTGGATCCGGCCCCCGGGACTTGAGTTTGACACCTCTGCTCTAGAGTGTTGATAGCCCCACTTGTCCTCTTGTAGCTCTGAGTTTGAAGATCATCAGTGTTGATGTTCCCACCTGTCTCTTTTGCCATGAGCTATATCTTAGGTTTATCCTAAATTTATATCATCGGTGTCGATATTCTCATTTGTCTCTTGTGGGCTCCATCTTAGGTATACCCTGAGTTTGAAGCCCACCAAGGCTGCTTGCCCCCAGGATCCTTTCTAACGTGTTCCTCAGACAGCACTATACGGTTTTGGAACTTGGAAAACAACACGCATGGACCTTTCAAGAAGAACGTCTACAGTGACGTAAGTTTCTCACCTTTCTCACAAGGCGGTTGTCACATCGGCTTCCCCTCACCAACCAGGCTGACTGTATTTCAAGGGCCTAAGAGAATTAAAACCTCTCCCTCTTGATTTCCTTTCAACCGGCTCTCTTTCGAAGTGGCTTGATGCATTGTTTCCTCCCTAAAGAACTTGCTGAAGATTGTGTACGTGGAAAAGAGCACCCAGTATTTGCAAGACTCATCAAATTTGCTGGAGCGAAACGACAACGTTGGCTACCTTGACATAAAATCCGGCGTCCGAGTGATGCAGATCAGCCCTGATGGTCAGCACTTGGCCTCTGGGGACAGAACCGGAAATCTGAGGTGGGTCTGGGATCGGCTTCCTTCTCTGGTGGGCATCTGTCTGTTGCTGTACCCACTTATGCTTCTCTGTCCCTTCCACGCTGGGATAAAACTTTAGTCTAACACTCACAGCAGGCCAAGGCATCGACTCATCCATCTAACAAGTACCAGGTAATCTTTGACTTACAACAGTTCTTTTAGTGAGTTTGAAGTTACAATGGCACTGAAAAACTTATGACTGGTTTTCATACTTATGGCCGTTGAGGTATTATTCCCTCGGTCACACGATCAAAATTCATATGCTTGGCAACTGACTCACATTTATGACGGTCGCAGTGTCCTAGGGTTACATGATCCCCGTTTGTGACCTTCTAATGATGGGGCAAGCCAGGTTCACTTAATAACTGTTATTAACTTAACTGCAGTGATTCATTTAACAACTCTGGCAAGAAAAGTCATCAAATGGGGCAAAACTCAGTTAAGAATTGTCTCACTTTTCGGGCTCAATTGTGGTCATAATTTGAAGACTACCTGTAGATCATTATCTGGGAACTGATGGCCATAAAATCTCAAAAGCACACTTACTGATTTCACTCCCTCCCCAATGTTGGACCATCAGTTATGGCCAGTAGATTTTAGTATTTCTGACAGGTTTTGTACTTCTGATTCTGTACCCCGTGCTCTCAGAGAAGTAAAGTTCACTTTTAAACCGTTTTAAAACGTCGTCTTTTTGTCTTGCAGGATACATGAGCTAAAATTCATGGCAGAAGTGATGAAATTTGATGCCCATGATTCGGAAGTCCTCTGCTTAGAATATTCCAAGCCAGAAACAGGTTGCTTTTTAAATCTGGAAATTTGTGCAGATGAAATTTTATATTTTTTATGTCACGCATATCCAACCTGCGACCCTCATGCTGCAGGCAGCCCTGAACAGCTAGTAATGCAGCCCCAGTAGGTCGTAAACTTTGAACATTATTATGTGATTTATATACATTATATTATGTACAGGTAGTCCTTGACTTATGACCACAATTGAGCCCAAAATTTCTGTTGTTAAGTGAGACATTTCTTAAGTGAGTTTTGCCCCATTTTACGTCCTTCCTTGCCATGGTTGTTAAGTGAATCCCCGCAGGTTTTAAATTAGTAACACAGTTGTTAAGCGAATCTGGCCTCCCTATTGACTTGTCAGAAGGTCGCAAAAGGGGATCACATTGCATCACTGCAACCGTTGTAAATATGAGTCGATTTACAAGTGTCTGAATTTAGTGACCATGGGGATGCTGCAATGGTCGTATGTGTGAAAAACTGTCACTTTTTTCAGTGCCATTGCAATTCCCAACAGTCACTAAATGAACTGTTGCCCACCTGTATTTTGTATGTGGCCTCCTCACTCAGTGTGACCCAGGCAAGCTGAAAGATTCGACACCCATGTGTTGTGTTGTGTTGCGTTGTGTGTACAGACCCACCCATCACACACACACACACACACACACACCTGCTGGCCAAGGTATCTGAACAATTCTATCATGGCAATTCTTGGGATTTTCGGGAGCAGCTTTGACTCCCTTTGAAAGAGATGCAACTAAAGGTTTTTCCCCCTCTGTCCGTAGGCCTTGCGCTCTTGGCCTCAGCGAGTCGAGATCGGCTAATTCACGTACTGAATGTGGGAAGTGATTACAAACTAGAGCAGACCTTGGACGACCATTCCTCGGCTATCACAGCGGTCAAATTCAGTGGTGAGTCAGCTCAAATAACCTTCCCAGAAGCCGCTGCATAACACCACTCGGTACAGAGTCCTGTGAAAATCTGTTTCTTAAATCCTCCTGACCATCTTTCTCAAACTATGTGGGCTTAGGGATTGCAGGAACATGAAGCCCAGTCTTCCTGCAGGAAGGAAAAACTGGGCTTTATTTTAGGGATGAAGCATAAATCTAAAAAAATTATTAAATGCATAAATCTAAAGTTATTATAAAAGATAAATTACATGAACATGAGAAGGCTGATCTGTCTGACTTTCTTTTCTCCATCAATTTCCCTCCCCCCTCAATAGGAAATAAGTGCATTCAGATGATTAGCTGTGGAGCTGACAAAAGCATCTATTTTCGCAGCACGCAAAAGGTTCTTAGAATTATTTATCATTATATTATAAAAACATGCAATTACAGTTCTTAGCTGGAGGGCTGTTTGGGCAGAATAGAAATAGATATAAAGACTAGAATTGAGTCGACTGGAGTTGCTGCGTAGAAATTGAATATATTTAATTAAACATGAGCTGTTGAGTCCCAATTTGGTGGCCTATGGGGGTTGTGTTGGCCGTCTGCTTTAGGCTGATTTAAGGAGGTTATTTAAGAAAACTTTCCTGCGCAAATTTATCCAAACAGCTGATGGTCAGGCAGGACTTCCATAAGATAGTCTGCATTGATCCCAAATTTCTGTGAGGGGGTCTCTCTCTTCTTCCAGAAATCTGGATGAGGCATTACAAAATCAGACTAGGCTGCATTTGTATTCCTAAAGCTGCTCTTTGTTCAGAATTTCTGGTAATAATTAGCAGAATATTGCTGATTTTCTCCGTTTTGTATTAAAATGACCTTTCCCTTCCCTGTAGTCACAGTGTATAGATTCACTCTGCCTATATCCTTGGTGGGCTTATTCTATAAATCAGTTGCTTTTCCAGTTGAGACCCAGCCCCGTTTGGAGGGTTCCCGGTTACCCATAATCTTGAAATGGCTGGATGAAAATTCTTACCCCAGTTTAGAGGGTCTGCTTCCTCATTCCAGGTCGGAGGTGGAATTAATTTTATCCGGTCTCACCACGTTGCTGAGAAGACTGCTCTATATGACATGGATGTGGATATAACTCAGAAGTATGTCGCTGTGGCCTGCCAGGACAGAAATGTCAGGTGAGATGCTCTCTGGAATTGCAGCATTTGAGGTCATCCTCAGAGTTTTAATTCCCGAGTGGAGAAAATAAGGGAGGCTGGGATTGGAGTTCAGTCTTAGGGGAGGAAGGAACCAGGGTCCAGTGGAGACCAGAGCCTCCCAAGAGGAATGGCGTCTTCTGAATGGCCCTCTCCTGCCCGTAAGACCTCTTGCCTTGAGCCAACCAGATTCTTCAGGTTCTGAGGCCAACTTAATTCTCACCTTCCAGGATCTACAACACGGTCAGCGGGAAGCAGAAGGGCTGCTACAAAGGGGCCCACAGTGACGATGGATCCCTGCTCAAGGTGAAGGAGAGACACAGAAAAATGTCTTTTCCCCAGGGCAAAATTGGGGACTGGTCATTGCTTGCAGTAAGGGATTTTTTTTCCAGATGAGAATTTAATGCCTCAAAGAGGCTCAGGAAAGATAAAAAATTTGGCTAATTGTCCCTTGGCCAGTAATTTTATTTGTACATCATCCAGAGTCCCTCTGTGAGGGAGATGGGCAATTTTTAGATAGATAGGTAGATAGATAGGGAGGGAGGGAGGGAGGGAGAGAGAGAGAGAGAGAGAGAGAGAGCGCAATCTGCAGAGAAGAGACCGCTTAATGTCTAGTTTCTGATCCCTCTGTAGGTCCAGTTTGATCCTTCTGGAACATTCCTGGCCACTAGTTGCTCAGATAAAAGCATTTCCATCATCGACTTCCGCTCTGGAGAATGTGTGGCCAAAATGTTTGGACACTCAGGTTTGTTTCTCAGTCTTCCTATTCTGAATTTCTCTGATTTCTCCCTTTGCTTGCTTCCTCTTAAGCGTGTTATAAACTTGCATGCCAATCGCAAGGGGCACATTCCCAAAACATTCCTGTGTCAGGACAAGGCCACTGTGAAACCCATAGGCCTCTTCACTCTGTGGGGAAGCATTTCATAGTCCCTCCTTCATCTTCTCCTCATATGTAGAGGGATGTTCTCTCATAATTCCTGGCCCTCGTGGAAGCTGAGGAAGATCAGCTCAGAGGTCCATCCTGTGAACAGGAGTGACACAGATGATACCCAGAAGACCTTCCTTTAAATTAATCAAGGGGAACAGCACAATAATTCACTTCTTCCGCATTGCAGAAGTCATCACGGGGATGAAATTTACCTTCGACTGCAAACATCTGATCACCGTCTCGGGAGACAGGTGGGCAGTTTGGTCTCTCCCAGGTGCACGTACGGCTTCAAGACTTGTGAGATTCCAAGCTCACCCAGAAAGGACAGTGGGGGAACTGAACACACATTGGGGTGTGGTGGCCAGTTTTGAGGGACAACCACCTCTGGATGAGGCTGCCTGTGCCGTGGGGCCGCTTCAGATCCAGGCTGGAAAGACCAGCACGGGTGCCCCACACCGGCAGGTCTCCCTATTTTTAACAACATCTGTGCTCTTCTTCTCCAGTTGCATCTTTGTGTGGCGCCTGAGCCCTGCAATTACTGCTTGCATGAAGCAGCACTTGAGGGACCTAGAACAGATTCAGGAGCAGCAGGAGGTCGGGGACTCTGCGTGGCCTCCCCGGGTCAGGTACGGACCAGCCTTGCCCCTCGAGTCCACGAGAAGGGCAGCCCTTCCCTGGCGGTCTAAAGAAAGGGATACTTCCTTTCCAGGGTGGAAATGTTTGAAAGGGTCTCCCGCCGGGACATGGTTGATTCAGACCTGGAGGAGGAGGAGGAGGAGGAAGAGGAAGAGGAAGAGGAAGGAGAAGAGGGAGAATTAGCTCTGCAGACGCCAGTTAAAGATGACCCTGACCCAGGTACGTCTTGGGGCAAGACACACTCAGCGTTATCTCAGCTAGCGACAATTTTCTCTGCTTTTGTCATTTTATATCTGATGATTTTAATGCTTGTTCATATTTTATTATCCTGTGAGCTGCCCAGAGAGATGGGCAGGAAGTAAATTTAATAATAATAATAATAACAACAACAACCTGTAACACCATCTAACATCCACATATTCCAGGTCCTTGGAAAGGACTCGATAGGTAGACATAAATGCCAAACCCAGCCTGAACATTTGGCTGACTGTGACGAACCATAATCATTTATTATTATTAGAACTTATTAGTCTCCAAAAAACCCACCTTACTTGGAACTGCCGATATACTCAGACGCAAGAGGAACACTGACAGTCTATCCTTTTTAGTAGAGATTGGACAATCGCTTGTCTGGAATGGCATAAGGTCTCCTGTATGAGGAGGGGGTGGGGTAGGGGGGTTGGACTAGAAGACCTCCATGATCCCTCCCAACTCTGATATTCTGTTATTTCTTTTAATAACTTTCTCTTTTTTTGGAGGGGAAATTCAACCCCCTTCTCCTTGTTATTATGGAGCACAGCTTCTTAGACATGTTGCATAAATTTTCACACTTATTTTTAGATTATGAGATATATACAGGGGGATTCCCTGTACAGGCTGTATACCTTCATTGTGCATCCGTCTGTCCTAATGTGGTTTTTCTCTTCTTTTCATGCTGCTTCCCAGCTCCTGTTTGTATCCTGACCAATGGCAAAATGCCCATGTGGGCAAAGAGACTGGTAGGTTGCAGGAGATGGTCGAGTTTGTCCCATAGAGGGCAGGGAGACCTAGATTTCTGGAGATGGAAGAGAGCACAGCTACTAGTATAGGTAGTCCTCGACTTACATCCACAGTTGGGACCAGAATTTCCATTCCTAAGCAAAGCAGTCGGTAATTGAATCGTACCCGGTTTTTTGCCATGGTTGCTAAGCGAATCATGGCCCAAATTTTGATCACGTGACCATTGGGCATGCTGTGACGCTTATAACTGGGACAACAATCTGTGGTCATTTTTTCCAGTGCTATTGTAACTTCAGCTGGTCACTAAACGAACGGTTATAAGTCGAGGACTCCCTGTAATAACGAGCGATGTGCTGCTTGGCTCCGCTGGGCCCACCCCATGCCAGCCATTCTTTCATGGCTTCAGCTGGCCTTCCCCCACCTGGCCCTTCAAATGTTGGGACTGGCAGGCACGGAGGTCTCGCCCATCCGGAGGGCCCTTGCCCTCCACCCATGCAGATTTTTGCTGGGGTTTTTCCAGCTGGCTGGCGGGGGTGGTGTGGGCAGGGTCAGCCAGTCTCCTGACCCCTTCTCTGGGCGTCTCCCTCTGTTTCCTTCCCAGCTGGGTGAAGCCGACCATTCGGAGAGCAGCGCCTTTCCCGCCAGGGTGAGCTACCAGCCCCAGGGCCGCTGGGCTGAGCGAGCTGACATGCAACCCATCAAAACCTTCCTGGAGGCCGACTTGAGCTACACCGAGGCGGACACGGACCGGCTGGTTTTGGAGGTGCTTCTCGGCGGGAGAGGGTGGGAGGGGGGCCTGTGGTCTGCTTGGCTGAGTGAATCCCCCTCCCCTTGTCTGAGGAAGCAGGCGATCCATCTTATTCAGAATCAGAATCAGAATAGAGCTGGAAGGGACCTTGGAGGTCCTCTAGTCCAGCCTCTTGCTCAAGCAGGAGACCCTGTACCATTTCAGACTGGTGGTTGTCCAGTCTCTTCTTAAAAACCTCCAGGGATGGAGCGCTCACTATTTCTGGTGGCATGTTGTTCCACTGGTTAATTGTCCTCACTGCCAGCAAGTTTCTCCTTCATTCTAGGTTGATTTTCTCCTTGATGAGTTTCCATCCGTTGCTTCTTGTTCTGCCTTCTGGTGCTTTGGAGAATAGGTTGACCCCCCTCTTCTTTGGGGCAGCCCCTCAAATACTGGAATGTGGTTCAGAACACGGAAGGCGCATTTGTTTTTCGCGCACATTAAAAAAAAACCCTGATTTTATTCTATAAAATTCAACTCCTATTCAGCCCTTTGAATTATTAGACAGTCATTGGACCGTATTTATCCCCGCGCCCTCTTAATCACGAAGGGCTAGTCCTGAGAAGGAGTTAATTGAAGGAAAGGAAGAGAATGTTTTCGCTTCGCCACACAGACTGAGAATTCTCCCGGTAACATCACCGAAGACTTCAAGCAGCCAATTCTGTCTTCTGACGAGGACACCGCTCAGGAGCTGGAGGGCAGCGGGACCACCCGCCACGTCTCCCAAGCAGACAGCAGCTCTTCCTTCGGGGACAGGTTGGTTTTCTGCAGACTCTCTAAGCAGACGTTCTCGCAAAGAAATCCCACTCAGCAGGCTGTCCCAGACTCAAGCGACGAGGCTGCGGAAGAGGCTTGGTCCTTTGGCCCAGGGGTCTCCAACAGTGGTGAAATCGGAACCGGTTTGCTACTGGTTCGCTGGCCGCGCATGCACAGTGTGCACAAAACACGCGCACCCATGCACAGCGCACACCAAACGTGTGGAAAAAGGAAGCTTTCGGAAGTTAAGTAGAACAGTGGGGGCGGGAGCAGCTGTGCCACGCGATTTAGATTCACTAGAAAGCAGAATTCCCTGCTTTGATCGTCAGAAATACCGGTTCGGAGGAATTGGTAGGTGTTTTTTACTAAAGGTAGTTTTTATCACTACCGATTCACCCGAACCAGTGCGAACCGGTAGGATTTCACTGCTGGTCTCCAACCTTGGCAACTTTAAGCCTGGAAGACTTCAACTCCCAGAAGGTTGGAGACCCCTGCTTTGGCCTGTTGTGTTCTGGAGCTTGAGAGGACCACAGACTCCGAGGCAGAGTGTCTGCGTTGTTCTCACCTGTTCAGTCTCACCTCTCAGGTTCTGCAGGACACCTGGATGGGTAGATCCACTGTTGAGAAGCACCAGCAATCACATTTCTTATTATTTAATTTATTTTCTTTAAAGATCAATCCATCAGCCTCTGTTTGAGGAGGAAGCTTCGAGTCCCAAAGACAAAGTGCCTGAGATAATCTGCTCTGGGGCTCCCTTGGATGCTGATCTACCTGTTTCTGGGCACCAGCACGAAGGTAAGATCTCCTGGAGGGACCTCACGGATTCTTCTCCAGATTGTATTGCATCGATTGGGTTCTTTTCATGGCGAAGCCGGCCGCTGGTTCTAGAACTCCTGTAATGTCCAACCCAGCTCCAAAGAGCTATCTGGTGCCTTCCAGGTGTGAACTTCAACTTCCACAATTCTCTTAGACGTTGCTAAGAATTCTAGGAGCTGGCCAAACCTTTCTGGAGGATGCCAGGTTGAGGAAGGCGATCTGAAAGCCGGCCGTAGAAGAGGAATCGTGTTTTCTGTGCCAATGATGGATTAACTCAGGGGTGAAATGCTATCGGTTCGAAGCGGTTCACCTGAACCAGTAATGAAAATGCTTTAAAAAGTAAAAAAAAAAAGTTCCTAGATTGCGTGGCACAGCTGATCATCTGAACTTTTAAAAAACTTTTAAAAGCATTTTTTTACTACCGGTTCGGGCAAATAGGGAGTTAAAAAATGCTTTAAAAAAGAAGGGAAAAAAAGTTCCAACAATCAGCTGTGCCGTGCAATGGTCGGAACTTTTTTTTTACTTTTTAAAGCATTTTTTTACTACCTATTGCCTGAACCGGTATTTTTGTGTAAAGTGTGATAGTTTGTTTTTGAGTTCTCTCTGACTGTGAGGTCCCTGCTTGTTGCAGGGGCCATTTTGTGTGAAGTCCAGCTGTTTTTGCGTTGTGTGTGAGTCAGTTGTGTAGCTTTTGTGTTATTTTTGTGTAAAGTGTGATAGTTGGTTTCCTCGGTCACATGACCACCAAGCCACGCCCACAGAACCGGTAGGGAAGATTTTTGAATTTCACCACCGGATTAACACCAGGCCTCTCTCCGTCTTGTCCACTCCGCTCGGAAACAAATGGGAGAAAGAGGAGGAGAACTTGTGGGCTGAGTTGCCATCTGTCCCCAAAAGGGGGAGGGAGAAGAGAAGGGGGACATTTAGCAGTATATCTCGATGGAGGAGGAGGAAGGCGGCTGGCAGGAGGGATACACATAGTCCTTGATTTACAACATTTCACTTAGTGACAGTTCGAAATTACGACTACACTGAAAAAAGTGACTTATGACCGTTTTTCACATTTACAACCGTTGCAACATCCCTGGGGTCACGTGATCAAAATTCAGACACTTGGCAACTTGGGTCCTGTTTATGATGGTTGCAGTGTCCAGGAGTCACGTGATCCCGTTTTGTGACCTTCTGACAAGCAAAGTCAGTGGGGAAGCCAGGTTCACTTAATAATCGTACGCATGACTCGCTTAACAAATGTGGGAAGAAAAGTAAAAACTCACTTAACAAATGTCTCATTTAGCTACAGAAATGTTGGGCACAATTGTGGTCATAACTCAAGGACTACCTGTATTAAGGAAGAGTGCTTGAAACAGGGGCTAGAAACCCTCCCCCACCCTCCCAGCAGCTGAGCCTCCCCTTTGTTTTCTGCTCTGCAGAGGCCGAGCCCAAGGTGGCCAAGCTGAGAGAGAACTTCTGCCCGAACGGGTCACTGCCCCAGACGCCGGAGCAGGAAAGATACCTCAAGACTCACTTTGAAACTCTGGCTGGTGACTCCCTTGAAGGTAACGTGGAGCTGGGATAGAGTTCCAAAGCACCACGACTTCATTTCATGCTACCTGTGCACAGGAATATTTCCTACTGAGGGTCAAGGCTGGTGATTGGTAGCAGAGAAGAATTTAAAGGTTCTAAAGGGGGGGGGGGTGTTGGATGTAAGTCTCTTACTGGGGCACAGGGACTCCAAACGGTTGATGTGTTTGAACCCGTGCTTGGTGTCGTCTCCCACAGAATGGAATTTTAAGCATGGAATTGTGGGGTGAAGGGGTGAAGAATCCGGCTGGCCCATGGAGTCTGGGGCCGCTTCAAGGCCACCTGCCAGGATTTACCTGTATATCAGCTGCAGGTGCCATCCTTGCCAAAGTGCCACAATGGCATATAATTCCTAGGCCAACAAGCACGGCAAGCAGCCCACACCATCACCATGGGAAGCAGGACCTGTGAGCTGGCAGCTCCTACATACCATCCCCTTGGCCCCTTTCCAGAGTCAGAGGAGCCAACCCAAGCCTCAGGAGGCAAGCCAGGGCAGCCCTCTCCCTCAACTTCATGCCAGGCCTGGGGGCATCTTCTTTTCAGCTCACCTATGCTAAACAGCCAGTTTGCTTGTGGAGGAGGCAGTCCTGCAGGTACAAAATGCTCCTATTTCATTACCCAACTGGCTAACATCATCAGCAAACCACACTCCCTATTTGCACTGATGTTGCCTAGTAGGGTAATGAAACATCTGCAGAAAAACAAGCAAGGTCAGAGAGCACCAAGGAACCTTCCTCCTTCTCTCCATAAATCCCGTCTTTTCTAGCACTGATGATGTTCCCTAATTGGATTATGAAACATCTGTACAAAAACCATCAAGCTCAGTGAGCACCAATGACCCCATAGTTGTTCTCCTCCTCCTCCTTGCCCTCTTCCTCCTCTCCACCAACCCACTCCCTTCTAGCACTGATGATGTTCCCTAGTTGGGTCATGAAACGTTTGCAAGAAAACCAACAAGCTCAGAGAGCACCAAGAACCCCTCATATCAACCCTGAGCTACCAATATTGTCTTCTATTGGCACTGGGACAAATTCTCTGCCTCCCTCTTTGTGTACAGAAAAAATTGATGGCTGTATAAGAGATCGGCAGCCTTTTGAAGACAGTGAGGACGCGGGAAGCCCACTTCTGAATCCTCGCCTGAGCTTCTCCGCCAGGTTTCTCTCGCAAGCTCAGAAGAATTGCAGGTTGGCTGCTCCTGTTCACCTTGCCTCTCTGTTTGTGGGGAAGCTTCGCCCGGAAACCTGCTCTGAGATGGTTCTCCTCCACACAGATTTGCGGCTGCATCTTTCCCCAGAGTCTGTCCGCTGGCGCAGGTGGCCACTGCCGAACACCTCCCAGAGGAGTGCTCACCACTCAGCGATTTCGCGAAATTCAAGGCAAGTTTGTGTGGTGCAAATATTTTAACAGCCACCCACAAAATCACTGCGCAGCAATTAGATGGGTGGAAGATGACATCTGCGGAGATTCTCAGTCATTCAGGTCACGGTTGTCCCAAAGGTGGTTTTTCAAGAGGCAACCGGACTTCCTTGGTTTTTCCTTGAAGACGTTTCACTTCTCATCCAAGAAGCTGAAGAACTGAAGAAGCTCCTTGGTTGAGAAGCGAAACGTCTTCAAAGAAAAAGCAAAAGTCCAGTTGCCTCTTGAAAAACCACCTTTGGGACAATGGAGCATGACATTACTGGCATTCCCTAGATTAATTCCTCAAATTTCAAATTAAATCTATTAATAGTGCTGGGAAAATTCTAGCTCTGCCTGAGATTTAAGAGTTTTTATTTTTTTTAATTTAGAATGAGAGAAAACTCACTCAACGAACGTCTCAGCAACATAAATGTTGGGCTCAATTGTCATAAAATGGGGCAAAGCTCACTGAATAACTGTCTCATTCAGCCTGTCATGCCCCCTTCGGACTCTGACTCTGAGATGGAAGACAAACAGCTGACAGAGAGTGGGAGAATGGCTCTGTTGGCTGAGGAGGAAACTGGGGAAGGGCAAAGTCAGGCTGGGCAGAGCAGGGGAGAGGTAGAACAAGGGAGAGGGGGTTCAGATGAAGACCAAGGCCCACCTCCTCCTCATCCTAGAACACGCAGGGAAGAACGCAGATGAGAGCAACGTGAGTTGCGTGGCTTACAAGGAAGGAAAGGGCCCCTGTTCCCTTCACAAGGCACACCTGGGATGGAGTTTAAAGGAGGGGCAGTTGTGAGGGCCGTTTGTCGGGAACAAACACTGAATTAATCTGGTGCTGAGAGTTGTGGCCTGCATTCCCTCCTGACTGTGTGGATTACTGCTGTGCTACTATCTTGTCTTGCTGGGATTATTCTTCCTGTCTGGAACTCCTTATCTTGCCCTGCTGGAGTGATGGATTGCAGTCATTCTGTTTACAGCGTTTGGACTGGATCATCTTCAGGTTTGTGGGAGAGCTTTTCTCCAGGCCGAGTTGATGCCAGTAAAGGGATACCTACCGGTTCTCTGGCTGTGTTGCCTTTGTGCCACACTCCGAGTCATCACATAGCCATTGAGCTGAAATTTTGGGCTCAATTGTGGTTGTAAGTCGAGGACTGTCTATAGATGCTTTGCATTCTGACTCCCATGTCTGGGACGAAAGGGACTCCTCCATAAAATGTACATGATTTGAGAACATTTTAACAATTATGATTTCCCCGAATATCAATGGGAGGGATTTGGTGAACACTCTGGACTTATCTTTTATCTCCCAGCTTCCTGCAGAAAAGCTGGTGCGTGATTTATGACCAAGAAGGGGCTTGAAAGCCTGTTTCCAGACTTCTTGAAGTCATAAAGTCAGCAGGGGAATAAGGAGCCCCATCCAACACTCCTTTTTTAAAAAAATATAACAATTTTATTAATTTATGATACAACATATCCAAAATAAATGCAAAAGCAAAAAGAAGGAGAAATAGGGAGGGGGGAAAAAGAAAGAAAAGGCATCTGACTCCTTTTTGTGCAGCAGAGTAGGGTAGTAACATCAAACCACCATAACTTTTTAATTTTACCTAGTAGTTTAAACTAGCCATTTTGGTAACACCATATCTATCTAATAGGTAAAGCCCAAAATCAAAGTTTCATTTTTTTTTTTACCTCAAGCACAAAGTCCAGAAGTGGTTTGCAGGTAGAAACAAGGGTATTTGTGTTTTTTTTGCCTTGATCAAAGCAATCACAACACTTCTGACTTGATAGGAAAACGAAGCTGCTGGCCTAGAATCCGCTCAGTTGCTATCTAACCTCTGTGACATACCTGATTTTTAGAAACCTCCCCCAGAAATACAGCCCGAGCTGAAAGGATGCCTTGATGCCAAAACATCCTGTGTTTCAGGTAAGAATGTTGACCAAACAAACAGATAGGTAGTTGGAGCAACCCTTCTTTTCTTTTCTTGGGATAAAATGGGCGTGATCATTTCCCTCGTAGATGCCCTGCAAAGGAACAGCCAGCTGATACGGTCAGTTGGAGCTCTTTATCTGTCCCTTGAAAAGAATGCAGTCGGGTATTCCAGTCGGCTGGATTTTTGTCTTTTTCTTGGCCTTGGTAAATCTCCAAACAGGGACATGTTTTTTTTTTTGTTATTATTTTCCCCCTCTGTTCTCATTCTCAGAAATTCAGGATCTCCTCAGAAATTTTGAGGGGAGCTTGCAGACCCTACACCTCAAATTTCAAGAGACTTTGCAACTGTATGATAAGGTAAGGGGGTGACTGCATTTTACAGAAGAAAGAAAGAAAAGAGAAAGAAAGAAAGAGAAAGAAAGAAAGAAAGAAAGAAAGAAAGAAAGAAAGAAAGAAAGAAAGAAAGAAGGGGTTTTCCTTGGATGGGTGTGCCAGGTTTCTAATATGCTTTGTGCTACATCAAAGGGGTCCAACCTTGGTCCCTTTAAGCTGTGCGGGCTGGGGAATTCTGGGAGTTGAAGTCCACATGTCTTAAAGGGACCAAGGTTGGACACCTCTGTGTTATATTTTAAGATACTACTTTTATCATCTCTGTCCATAAGGTGTGATTAAACATGGCAGCACATGTTGAAAAAAATAGAGCTTTTAACCTCATGGCCATCTTGACCACACCCTCCTATCCCCCACCCCAGTTACTTTAGGGTGTTTTTTTTTTTAATGATGCCATGGGAAGAGAGGCCAAGAAGTCCTTGTTTCTCCTGGGGATAGGCAGTTGGCCATGCCAGAAACCATTCCAATGTTTCAGGTGTTTTCTTGCACCGGTGGGACCGAGGAGGAGCTCACCCACGTCCAGCACAGGCTTTCTAGCACCTTCTGCTGGATGAAGAGCGAGCTGGCGACCAGAGAGAGCAAGGATAAGGCCGCCACCAACCCCTCGTCCTTCTGGCCGATCTGCCTTCAGGAGGGCGAGGCCCACGTGCTCCTGAAGCATTACTCTGACTCTCTCCTGAATATGGTTCAGAAGAAGCTGGAGGAGGCCTGGAAAACCAGCCTGCCTTGAAGGGCCCCATTCCTGCCCTTCCGCACATTTGTCGCGCACGGATGTCCGTTTCGGTGTGACTCCTGAGGAGCTGAGACCGTCCGACAAGAGCACTTTACCAAAAAAAAAGTTTTAAATAAAATAAAGTATTTTTGGATTGGACAGACTGAATTTGTCATGCGTGAACCTCCAAGAGGCAGCTGTGTTTTCCTGTTTCAACCAAGTTTCCTTGCCCCGTAAAAATTGACAAAATGATTATGGCATCAATTTTAAATCAGTTTATGGTTCGTCATAATTGGCTTACTGTAAATTAAACAGACAAGCTCTGTGTACTGGCTTATGTTTAAAATGTTAGCCTGTTTTCCAGTAAAAGGCGTTGAAAAGCAAGTTTTTATATTTCTCAACCTACTGCACCAAACCAGAATTTTTTCTGATCTTTCCTTCTAGTTAATCTCTTGCATATCACATTTGTTTATTTTCCATAGAGCTGGGCAATCATCCGAAAGTCTTGGCGTCTTCTCATTTTCTGTTTACAGATAGTCTTGAACTTATGTCCGTTAGCTTTAACAATGGTTTGAATTAACTATGGCCTCTGAAAGGGTCCCTGATGGCTTGTAAAGCACTTTCGGCTGTCGCAAAACACACAATGCGCACACACACACACACACACAATCATGATTTCGGTGCTTGGCAACTTGTTCGCACTTACAACCTATTACCAAGTGCCTCACATTTGTGATTTCCATTTGCAATCTCCTCTGCCAGTTCCCCCAGAATGTCATTGGGGAAACCAGCAGGGAAGGTTGCAAGCTATTGCCATCTGCCAAGAGCATTCCTTCTCATCTCTCGGGGAGCCAAAAGAGTTGCCTTCCAAAGAATTTCAGCTCCGTGCCTGCTGGGTTTTTAACAAAGGGGAGCCCAATTCCAAGTGGGATTTTCATCCCCTGAATCGAGGGGCTATAGACTAGTGGTTCTCAACCTTCCTAATGCCGCGACCCTTTAATTCAGTTCCTCATGTTGTGGTGACCCCCAACCATAAAGTTATTCCTAAAACCATTGAAAATATGTGTTTTCCGATGGTCTTAGGCAACCCCTGTGAAAGGGTCGTTCAACCCCCAAAGGGATCGCGACCCACAGGTTGAGAACCACTGCTATAGACCATGAGTTGTGGTGGCGCAGTGGTAGAGTGCAGTACTGCAGGCTACTTCAGCTGACTGCTAGCTACAGTTTGGCAGTTCAAATCCCACCAGGCTCAAGATTGACTCAGCCTTCCATCCTTCTGAGGTGGGTAAAATGGGGACCCAGATTGTTGGGGGAAAGAGGCTGACTCTGTAAACTGCTTGGAGTGGGCTGTAAAGCACTGTGAAGTGGTATATAAGTCTAAGTACTATTATTAGTACTATAGTAAAGTAAGGAGCACGGGGGTGTCTCGGAGTTGGAGGAGACCCCAAAAAGCCCACCACAGGCCACACATAAGTGAATCTCAGGCTGAAAACCCTGCTTGGATTTGGCTGAAAACTGCCCACTGAAGGATTTCAGCTCCATACCTGCTGAAGTTCTTTGGACTTCTGACTATGGAATTCTGGGAGTTGAAGTCCACACATTTCCAACTTGCAAGGTTTGAGAAATGCTGCAATAGAGCTAAGGACGAGGCAGGATTGCATTCCTGTAGCCACTTGGTTCCATGGGAAGCAGGGGGCTGGATTTAATACAGTACAGTACTCCTCAATTTACCACCACAATTGAGCCCAAAATTTCAGTTGCATTTCAGAGGCATTTGTTAAGTGAGTTTTACCCCATTTTACAACCTTTCTAGCCACTGTTGTTAAGTGAATCATTGTAATTGTTAACTTAGTAACACAATTGTTAAGTGAATCTGACTTCCCCATTGACTGCTTGTCAGAAGGTCGTAAAGGGGTCACATGATCTGGGGACACTGCAACGGTCATAAATATGAAGCTTCTGAATTTTGATCGTGTGACCACAGGAATACTGCAACGGCCATGACTGAAAAATGGTAATTTTTTCAGGGCTGCTGTAGCTTTGAATGGTCACTAAACAAACTGGTAAGTCAAGGACGACCTGCCCTTCACCTATTTTTGATGTGGCTTGCAGGTAAATGTTTTCCAAAGCTCTGTCCACAAAACGGTTGCCCAAGCTGCAGGTGAGCCGTTTCCCGGGATGGTTTGTTAATCAAAAAAAAAAGGATGCGCCCATTAAAATCACTCTGCTCCGAAACCTGACCATGGAAACAGGTTTATTCAAATCTGAGCACTCAGCGAGACATGGAAATCTGGTGCTGTTTGAAAAGAGAGACCTGTTTTCTTTCAGGTGCAAAGAAGCAGGAAGAAAAATCTCGGGGACTCAAGGCTCCCCAAATAACGACTCAACAACCCAGACACTCACTGGATTAATATAGACTAATCCAGTCTAGGGATCCCAATTTGATTTGCAAGCAAAATTTGGCTTCGTTTTCCCCCGATGGTTTGGCCTAAACTGAATTTTATTCCCAGCCCTGTAGGAGAGAGTGTGTGTGGATAGGCTCAGCTAGATGACCCTTGAGGAACAGGGTCCCTCGTGCATCCTTGGCTGGGGAATTCTGGGAGTTAAAGTCCACACGTCTTAAAGTTCCTAAGATTGACAAAGGCTGGAAATGCAAAGGTTGGGCTTCTGTTGCACACTGAATTATATTTCTGTGCTTGTCTTTTTTTCTTTTTTTTTTTTGCTATATTATCAAATGTTCTGTGTTTGAGGCTTTTCCTTGTCCCAGCCTACCCTACCTCGTAGGATTGTTGTGTTGTTGTTGGCAGAAGGCTTAGCTGATCTTTTCATGTTCTGATTTTTGTGGCTGCTTTTGAAGATAAGATGACTTTCCCGTCCCGGTGGCAGCCAGAGGGATGGATAACTGACCTTAACTCTGCTCTCCAGAGTTAAATTGCAAGATTTGCATAGATTGAATGCAAGCAGTTGTAAGTCTGTAATTAGAAGCACCCAATATGCAAAAGAGATGCCACGGGATGTCCTCTCTCTCACACACACACAGACCCAATTGAGATGCAAATTGTCAGGATATCAAGAGTTGCTCTTTTAAATAGCCCACCCACAGAATCATTCCTACTCAGGAATAGTGTTGAGATTTTGGACTTTGCTGGATGACAGACAGTTGACGCGGTCACTTCTGGAGTCCTTCCTATTCTCGTTGGGAGCTGGGGCGGGGGTTAGAGGCAGGAATTGGGGTCCGTGGTTTGGAAAGAAAAAAGCAACGGTTTGCATTTTTTGTTTATGGTTTATTGATAATGCTGGCTCTTCAAATTGTCTGAAATTATAGACTTTTATTGGGAAGTAAGTTCGAATTATAGATTTGCCAACTGTGGGGGTTGGACTAGAAGACCTCCAAAGTCCCTTCCAACTCTGATATTCCGTTATCCTTTTACAAGAAGAAATAAGTTGATAGGGAAGGACCTGAAGGTTTAGGAACGGGGGTGAGCACCATAAAAGGTATTTTCTTCTTCCTGGACATGAAGTGTCTCCTTTAAGGACCTCCCATTGTTGGTCTTCACCCCCTTGTTCAACGTTGATCCTGAGAGAAACCCAAACCCGGCATCCAATCAGCTATGCCGAAGTCCTTTCTGATAAAACGCCGTAAATCGGCACAGCTAGGAACCCGGAATTGGGGTGAACTCTCGGACCGGCTCCGGGGAGACTTGTACGTACCAGGTAGGTGAACCTCCATGAATGGTGTCTTTCTGGGCAATGAGCATTATGGGAATGAGGGACTCGCACATCTGGAGGGCGCCCAGTTGGGGAAGAACAGCCAGCGGGGAGAGGAAACGGTGCAAGAGAGTTTTTCTAGTACATTCCTGGAGATGGCGGAGTCCTCTACAGGTTAGTCCCCGGTTTAACGACCACAATTGAGCCCAAATCGTCCCCTGCTAAGTGAGACATCTCTTAAGTGAGTTTTGACCCATTTTACGACCTTTCTGGCTGCCGTTGTTCAGTGAATCACTGCAGCTCTTAAGCGAATCGGGCTTCCCCCCCATTGACTTGGCTTGTCAGAAGGTCACCAAAGGGGATCGCGTGGCATTCCGTCATAAATATGAGTCAGTTACCAAGTGCCTGAATTTTCATCACATGACCATGGGGATGCTGCAACGGTTGTAAGTGTCAAAAACGGTCGTAAGTCCCTTTTTTCCGTGCCATTGTAACTTCGGTCAGTAGGCAAACTGTCGTAAGTTCAGGGTTCCCTGTATTTGCAACAGTCACTAAACGGAGTGTCCATGTTGGCTCCCTCGATGTCTTAGAGACCGGAGCAGTCCCGGCCCTCGTCCACCCCACAATTCTCAGCCTCAGCAGCAGGAGCGAGTGGGACGGAGGAGACCCCCACCGCCTGGCCCAAAACCCGCTTTATTCGCAACCATCTGCTGTGGGAAAGCATCTTCCGGGGAACAAGGTAAAGCCGGCCCAAAACTGGATTCGGGACCTTAGCAAATGCCATAAATCAAGGGGGGCTCTTCACAAGCTGCCTGCCTGGTCTTAGCCCTGTCATTTTGGGGGTGGACCAGCAAGAGAGTTTGGTATACAGCCATGAGATTGGGGTGGGGGGCTGTTTGACTTTGCCTTTTTTTTCCCCCCATATTGTTTTGGGTAATTGAATTGCCTTTTGATCCTGGCTTGTTGTCCAGAGTTCTTTTGGTAGATTGAGGGGGACATACATATTTGGAAAGGGAGGAAGGGAAGGGAACAGTAACAGGAGAGGAGAGGAGAGGAAAGGAAAGGTGAAAAGAAAGGAAGAAAAGGAGGGAGGGGAAAAAGAGAAAAAGGAAAAGGGAGGTTGGTGGGTGGGAGGGAGGAGAAAAAGGAAAGGTGAAAAGAAAGGGAGGAAGAAGGAAGGAGAAAAAGGGAAAAGAGAAAAGGAAGAAAGGGAGGGAGGTGGAAAAGGGAAGGAAGAAGAGGGAGGGTGGGAAGAAGGGAAGAATTTGGCCAATGGTGCGGGAAGCGGAGAGCTTCAGTCCACCAATATCTGGAGGGCCACGGATTCTCCATTCAAAGCCCACCATTCTCACAAACAAATCCTGATTGCCCAGATCTGTATTTTTTATCAACCTGGTTTGTACTGTAAATTAGTCTCTTAGGGCAGGGACCCTTCCTGGGTCATGCGCCACTCCTCCCTCCCTCCTCTTTGCAGGGCAGGGGGCTCCCCCTGCAGGTGGGCTTCCAGTGCTCCGTCTGCAGCAAATGCTTCCCGCTGCAGCGCATGCTGAACCGCCACGGCAAGAGCCACAGCCCCGTCAAGAAGCACCTGTGCCACTATTGCAGCAAAGGCTTCAACGACACCTTCGACCTCAAGAGGCACCTGAGGACGCACACAGGTGAGGGTCGGCAGGCCAGCCGGGGAGGGAAACGGATTGATGTCTGCTATGGCCAAGTCCTCCACTTACAACCGCTCATTTAGCGACCGTTCCAAGTGGCAGGGCCACTAAAAAAATAAAGTGGCTTATTATTGGGGGTCACACGACCACAACTGGGGGCAGAATTCCCCCCGCTAAGCAAGGCAGTTCTTTATCCAGTTGTGCCCAACTTCACGATGGGTTTTTTTTTTTTTGCTGTGGTTGTTAAGCGAATCATGCCAGTTAAGTGGTCATTAAGCGAATCCAGCTTCCCTCATTCACTTTCCTTGTTGGAAGGTCACAATGGCCAGAAACCCCTGCCGGTTGCCAAACATCCAAATTTGGACGTTGTGACTTTTGGGGAAGGTCGTAAATGCGAATCACAAGCCTTTTTTTCAGGGCCAACTTTGAACGGTCACTAAACAAATGGTCGTAAGTTGAGGACCTTTGCAAACTCCCACCTGTTGCTGCCCGCAGGTATCCGTCCGTATCGCTGCTGCCTCTGCGACAAAGGCTTCACCCAGCGCTGCTCCCTGGAGTCTCACCTGAAGAAAATCCACTGCATCCCCCAGACTTACGGCTACCGGGAACGCCGGGAAAAGCTCTTTGTGTGTGAGCAGTGCGGCTTCACCTGCGGCAGCAGCGACGAGTACTATGGGCACACGCGCCAGGGCCACTTCGCCAGGCCCCACCTGGGGGACAACTTCCCCAAGCCCAGAGCAGTGGCTTTTCAGCCTCAATTGCACCTTCTACTCAGGTAGATGCCAAAGCAGGCAGGTGTGTGTTTTGGGGTTTTTTTTTTTTTAAATATAGGTAGTTCTCAACTTACAACTGTTCATTTAGTGACCAAAATTACAATGACGCTGAGAAAAAATGACTTATGACTGTTTTCACACTTACGACTGTTGCAGCATTCCTGTGGTCATGTGATCAAAACACTTGGCAACTGACTCACATTTATGACGGTTGCGGCGTCCTGGGGTCACGTGATTCCCCATTTGCGACCCTCTAAGAAGCGAAGTCAATGGGGGAGCCAGATTTGCTTAACTGGGGCAGAAAATGGTTGTAAAATGGGGCAAACCTCACATAACTGTCTAGCTAGGGAAACCTGGGGCTCAATTGTGCTCGTAAGTTGAGGACTACCTGTATATGTCACTGTGCGGAACAGAGCGGGGAGCCCTGATCTAGAGCCTAAGTTGCAAACAATATCACTCAACTGAGCCCCACCCCCCGTGCGAGGCCGGAGTCTTCTATAAAAAATAAATCATTTATTAGAGCAAAGGACAATTCAGACAGGCCGAATGGATAAATAGCAGAGAACCGCAGTGGGGAAGTCATCGGTGGCCCGGCAGACAGGAAGAGGCCTGGCAGGTAGTGGTCATCTCGGAGGGTTTCACTCTGTCCAACGATGACCGCAGTGGGGGGCTGTGCAGACGTAGTAGAGGCGCATGGCATCCTGGGAAAGAAAGGTGTGGGGGGAGGGGGGGAAGGCAGCCATGATTTTGTGATTCCGGAGGCCACTTCTTGCAGAGATGGGAAAGCAGAGAAGCGAAGGCCTCCTCCAGATCTCCAGCAGGCTCCTAAATCAGCTCCTTCTGACCTGGTCTTCTCTAGACTAGTTGGGGTACCATCCTTTTGCCCACAAGGGTCACAGACGGGGTGGCTGAGGCTGAAACCCCCTGGAAGGGCCTCCAGTAGCAAAAACTGAAAATCTGCATTTCCAAAATTTGATCTAGTGGTTAAGATACCGGGTGACAGGGAGTTCTAGTCTCAGCATGAAAGTTGCCTGGGTTACTTTGGGCCAATCACCAGGACACGGTGAGTTCTAGTCCTGCCTTAAGCATGAAAGCAAGCTGGGTGACTCTGGGCCCGGCCCCCACTCTCAGCCCAACCTACCTCACAGGACTGTTGTTATGGGGAGAATAGGAGGAGGGAGGTTTGGGGGATATGTGTGCTGCCTTGAGCAATTTGTAAGGATAATAAAGGTGAGATGCAAACAAGGAAGCAAACGCCTCTGTTCAGAGCCCAGGCTGAGTGCTTTTCACTCCTATAATATCGACTGAAAACTCGGTCAGAGTTCTGGGCAGGCCGTGCTGGGCTCCAAAGGCATCCAGGTTTGTGACTACAAGCCATCTTTGGGTGGCAAAGGCCCATCATTCCTCATGACGATTCAAAGCGATGTCATCCTAAGGTGAAACCCTCCCTAAATTAAAAAGGTATCTTCTCACCTCAGCCCTGGCGCTGTGAGACTGGAAAAAGACAGCTTCTTTGTGGCCGCATCTGGAAGGCAAAGCCAGGCGTCAAGCAAGGTAGGGAAAGAGCGCAGAAGACATGCGACTGGCGGAATTCAGCCACTTTATCCACCGGACCTGCGCGTGCACACGGGCACACACACGCTTAGGCAGGCTGCAAGTTCCCTCTGCTGTAGGTCACCTGGCCAGGAGGGAGGGCTGGGGATTGAATTGGGGCAGTCAGCAGCATTCTAACATACTGTCCATCCCCACCTATTTCTGCTGGCCTCTCCTCTCCAGAGCCCAGCCAATTTCCAAATCTATTTTTTCTTCTGCCGGAGTTTTTTCCCCACCCTCCAAATTTGGCCCCTTTCTGTGCTGCTTCTTGCAAAGCTCTCTTGTTTGAGGCTTGAGCAGAGACAGGGACGGAGTCCCAGCCCCTTGGCCTGGTTCAGGATAAAAATCAGGAAAAAATCTCAAAGAAAGCCCCTAAATTCTGCTCGCTTTCGAGCTTTAGAACAGCGCAACTTTAAGAAGGGCGGACTTCAATTCCCAGAATTCCTCCAGCCAGCCTGGTACAGTTTTAGAAGAAAGCTGTTTTCTATGACATGCCAGCCTCAAAAGATTTTTTAAGCTAAAGCAACAAGTACTCACTTCTGACAGGGGTGATCCTCCGTCCGGGGCAGAGTGGGATCCTGGGAGACATCAGCGATGATCTGTGTTAATTCGCTGAAAGCAAAATAGTAGATTTATTTCTTTAACCTGGGCGGTTTTGGTTTACAACAAATAAAATCAATCCAATAATAGTCCTTGATTTATGACCACAATTGAGCCCAAAGTTTCCACTGCTAAGCAGACAGTTAAGTGAATTTTGCCCCATTTGAAGACTTTCCTTGCCACAGTTGCTAAGTGAATTCCTGCAACTGTTAAGTTAGCAACACGGGTCGTTAACTGAATCTGGCTTCCCCGTTGACTTTGCTGGTCAGGTGGTCGCAAAAGGGGATCACGTGACCCCGGGACACGGCGACTGTCATAAATATGAGCCAGTTGCCAAGGGTCTGATTTTGGATCACGTGACCACGTTAAGTGTGAAAAATGGTCCTTAGTCATGTTTCTCAGTGCTGTTGCAACTTTGAATAGTCACTAAAACAGAGGTCTTCAAACTTGGCAACTTTAAGACTTGTGGAATTCAACTCCCAGAATTCTGTTTGAAGACCTCTGCACTAAAAGAACGATTGTTAAGTTGAAGATAACCTCTACTATAAAAGAAAAATAAAAAACAATAGCAGCCAAGCACCATTTAATCTGCCTTCCATATAATCTAGAAATGGGCTCTCACCAGCACCAAGGTCCCAGTCTCAACCACAAAGCCAGCTTTTCGAGGCCTTACCAAAGACCAGCTAGAATGGGGTCAATTTAATCTCAAGGGACGATGCTCCAAAGGGCGGGTGCCACCACAGACAAGGCTCTTCTTCAGGGCCTTGCCAGCCCACACTCCCTAAACCAGTGTTTCTCAACCTTGGTAGCTTGAAGATGGGTGGACTTCAACTCCCAGCCAGCAGCTGGGGGATTCTGGGAGTTGAAGTCCACCCATCTTCAAGCTTCCAAGGTTGAGAAACACTGCCCTAGATGAAGGTACTCACAGCACACCCTTTGTACCCAATCAGATAGCAGGGGTACAAACAACTGAGCAGAAACAATCCTGGTCTTAAACGGCAAAAAGGTTTTGAGGATAATGCGCAGCGCCTTGGATTGCACCTGGGAACTGGGGAATGCCCAGTCTCACGACTTGCGAGGCCAGATCAAAGCCAGTTGGGGTGACCCTGCAGCCTTCCCCTTCAATCTGAGGGGCACGGAGGGGGGGGGGCTCCTCCCCAAACTTGTCCCCCAGCAAGCAATTTTTTTCTGTGGTCCTCCAGGACTTACTCCACTTCGTGCGTGATCTTGTTGACGTAGATGCAGCTGTTGTCAGCTTCCTGCTGGTAGTCGCAGTTCCGGCACTGGCAGAGAGAGAGAGAGAGAGGGAGAAAAGGAGGAAGGAAGAGAAAGAGTTAAAAGAAGTGTGAGATCCTGATGTCCTGGCACCACCCAGGTGTCTCGGCCAGACGGCCAAGCAAGCTCCGATGGTTGATGGCGCTTTGGAGGCCTCCTCGTGTTCCAAACACTTCCATGGGGTGAGCAGCCCCAGCAATGGCTTCAATGGGGAAATGAATAAGTCAAACTCCCAAGCCCTGTAGCGGGAGGGCAGAAGCACATGGACCCCAGGCTGCTGGCTGGGGAATTCTGGGAGTTGTAGTCCATCCACCTTCAACTCAATTAGCATGCAGGCTGGGGAGTTCTGGGAGGGACTCTTAAAGGGGCCAACTTTGAGAAGCAGATCCAGGCAAAGTGGGGCAAGAGAGGCTGAGAACCCCCCCCCCCTCCAATTTTCAGGCCCATCCCAGATTTTTAGGGAAGCGGGACGTCCAGCTGACCTTGCCCTTCCAATGGCTTCTAACCCATCCAGCCCCTTCGGTTGGCGAGGGCCTCTCTTTTAAGGGGGGGGTCAGGACTTCATCTCCCAGAATCCCCAGCGACCCAGCACGTGCCCACGGACCGGAGCATGCTGGGAGATGAAGTCCGCGCCTGCTGGCAGAGGGCAGGCCGCCCCCACTTACCGCGTAGAGCAGGATCCGGTTCTCCTTGTCCTCCTTCGGGTACAGCATGTTGTTGCTGGGCGAGAGGGAGCAAGAAACGGCGGTGAGGCCTTTCGAAAAACAGGCCCGGGCAGCGCGAAGGGGAGGGGAGGATGGGAGATGCAGTTCAAAGCCTCGCGGAGAACCCGGGACGGACTACCTCTCCCATGCTCTGGTGAGTCCGGGCCCTCCCCGACCCTCCGCCCGCTCACCATTCCTGGCAGAAGCGGATCCCCACGAAGCCTGGCTCGTAGGCCCCTTCCGACTCCATGGCAACCGCGCCGAGCGGTCTCCGGCGCCACTGCGCACGCGCCTGCGACAACCACGCAGGCGCACTCTCGACTCTCGGGGAAGGTGTCCGTCGCCGCTTCGTCTACGGGAGGCCGCGAGGGTCGTGATTCTCCCGAAGCCGTAATGAGATGTTGGGCAAGGTGGGAGAAGGAGGAGGAAGTTGGAAGGGTTGAAGAAGGACCCATCGCTCTTGGGAGGCCCATAATGCTGGGCAAGGAGCAGCAGCAGCTGCTACTTTTACTCTTTTAAAAAAATCGGGTGTCCTTTTCCTTCTCCTTCTTGGATTACATATAGACCAAGCAGAGCTGAAATCATTAACCAAACAATATATCACAAATAAGATGATTTTAAAATATGACAGAATAATAGACAACAGTTTATGCCAAATTACACCACTTAAGCAGAACTGTTAATGAACCTAACGTTAATCCTGAAGAGGAAACTCAAAACCTTTGGCCACCTGATGAGAAGGAAGGACTCCCTGGAGAAGAATGCTGGGAATGATGGAGGGCAAAAGAAGAAGAAGGGGACGGCAGAAAACGAGGTGGCTGGAATGGTATGGACTAAGGGTGTCCCACTGGCTGGGGAATTCTGGGAGTCGAAGTTCACAAGTCTTAAAAAGTACATCCCTGGTATAGGTCTCCTCCTCAAGCAGGCATTTGAACGAGAAGACCTCCAAGGTCCCTTCCAACTCTGTTATTCTCTTCTCCTTTCTGTGTCCCAGTACATATTTGTTTATTCTTCTGCCAATTTTGAGTTTCGTAAACCCAATTGGTATCTGTGCAGACCTGACACACTACAAGGTGGCTGCGGTCACAAAAGAAATGGAAAAGAGACCAGAATAGACCCACCATAGCAGTTGCATTCCCACAGTAGGTTTAATGTTGACCTAGAGCAGGGGTCTCCAAACTTGGCAACTTTAAGACTTGACCTCAACTCCCAGAATTTCTCAGCCAGCTTTGCTGGGAGTTGAAGTCCACAAATCTTAAAATTGCCAAGTTTGGAGACCCCTGACCTAGTGTGTTGATTTGGGATAGGTAGGTTAAAGCTACCTGTATGTTATTGGAAGGCCACCAGTTCTAGTTCCTCCATGGTCTCCCAGAGCTCCTTGGAATCCATCACTGTGACCAGTATGGGACCTCCTCACTCCTGTTCCTGCCCAAATTGTCTCTTTCTTGCAGGTGAAGAAGATTGCTGCCGAATATTACGACAACCATCCCTATCACAAGTCCTGGGGGATCGTTCTTTGGGATTTCATTTTGAGTGAGAGGCTGGGCCCTTTCAGCCACCTGAAGAGAACCTACAAGGAGGAGGAAGAGGAGACACAATGAGGGTTCCTCTTCCCTCTTCAAGGGGCTCTCCTTCCTCCCCAGATGCAAGTCCAGGAACCAGGATCAGATAATGGCCTTCATCAAAACTGCCCCAACAAAATTCTTTGGGAAAAAGTTACCGAAAACCCAGAGATACCCAGGCTGGTGAGATGATATCCAGAACCTTCACATTTAGGAGTCTTGCTGTAGAACTTCACCTGAAAGCCTACAGAAATGCTGATGGATCAGGGTCAGCTTGGACCAAGGTTGTGACTCAATGCCTTGAGTCACACCCTTGGTCCAAGTTGACCCTGATCCACAGCATCGTGAAGTTCTCCCAACCAAAGCTTTTGCATGTAGAACAGGTGGTCAGCAGTCCAGCTGCAGCCCGTTCGCAAGGCTCCATTTCTCTTGTGGGCCTTTGCCTGCTGCTGATCTGAACTTCTCTCCACCCATTGCTGAATCCACAGAAGTTGCTGTCTCCCATGGCCAAGCCTTCTTCTGCCTCCCTGTTCCTCAGCCCTTCCTGTGTGACCCTTTGCAGACTCTGAGTCATCTGATTGAAGGCATCTTTAGGGGTACCTGCGACTTTGCTATTGATATTAAAAGTATCTTGAGCATTGAAAAGTTCTGCTGCCTGATTCATCTGCAGTAATGTTTTTTTCTTTTTTTAAAAAAATACTGGTTACTTCAACCCGCACGTTGAAGGAATGCTTTTTTTTTTCATTTTAGAACTGCCAAACAAGCAATAGATCTGAGAAATGGGTCTAAGTCAAGAAGTGGTTGGCTGGGAATTATGGGAGTTGAAGTCAGGCTAGGGGAGGAGAGGCTGCGGTGTTTTCAGCTCCCACTATGGAGTTTGCTTTCCCTGCAGCGGTGGAAACTCTGCATGGATTTTATTTATTTATTTATCAAAGGCAGGTTTCATAGAATCATCAACTCTTAAGGCTGGAAGGGTCTTTGGCGCTTTGCTGGCTGGGAGATTCTGGGAGTTGAAGTCCACAAGTCAAAAGTGGCCAAGGCTGGGCACCCCTGTCCCCCAACATCGTTTCTACCAGAATTATTTTGCAACCTTAGCAACCTTTAAGACTTAACGTTGCTCAGGTTGAGAGACCCATTTATGCAGTCCTTTTATTCCCCTTGCATAACTTGGCTTTTCACGGCAGAGGGAATAGGTGATGGGTGCGATTGATGAGCCTCTATCCAACAGGGACTAAACCGGGGTCCATACTGCGCTTTTGCAAAGAATCGGGGTCAACTGTGCAACGGGTCAGGCCCCTCTGGCTTCCTTCCCCAGGCTGGAACCCTCGACAGACGTTGCACTGCAAGCCCCATCCTCCCCAGCCATCCTGCATGCAGAAGACAATCCGCGGCAGCGTCAAAGCAGGGTCTTTCCTTCTCCCGGACCAAACGATGAGCCCTTCTCTCGCTCCTCCGGTGCAAGGCTGCCCCGGGACCCCCATGCACGACCCCCACAAAAGAGCTTTCGGTCCTGCGCGCTCAGCCGCCAGGGAAACCCTGCCCTTTTCTCCACCAGCCACCCGGCTTCGGCCTCGCCCGCCTCTCTCCATCGCGCCTCCTCATTGGCCGTCTCCGCTCCCGTGAGTTGCATCGCGGCTTCCTATTGGCGGGTCTCCCCGCCCGGGCTTCGAGGGCGGACGAGGGGAGGGCGGGGCCGAGGGCAGAAGCTCCGCAGCAGAAAAGAAAAGGCCGAGCCGCGCAGGACGCGGGCGGAGGCGGGGCAGGCGCGGCGAGCGGGGCGGCGATTGGCCAGTGGGGCGAGCGGCGGGGCGCCGATTGGCTGGCCGGAGGGAGCGGCCCGTGAAGGGGCCCGAGGCGTGGCGGCACCGGGAGAAGCGACGGCAGCGGCGGCCGGGATGAGCGTGACCGGGACCCCCGCGCTGGTGTCGGTCTCCATCAGCAGCAGCCTCAACTCTTTCCGCGCCCTCAAGAGATATGCCCGCGGCCTCACCATCGCCGAGTTCAAGGTAGGGCCTGATTCCCGGCCACCCGAGCCCATCATCCCCAGCCCCACGGCAGGCGGAGCCCGCGCTGGGGGACTACAAGTCCCATCCGCCTCAGCCGCTCCTGGCACAGGCCCCGGCTGCCGCGTGCCCCCTCCCCCATACACCCCCCCACCCCCTCACCCATGGGGCTCTGCCGGCGTGGCTTATGGGTGTGGGAGTCCCCGGTGCCCCAAATGCCCCCTGGAGGTTCTGGCGGGAGGGGGGGTTTATGGGGGGGACCCTGCATTCTGCGCCACTCCGCCCCCCCTCCCCCCTCCCTCCCTCCCAAGCCTACCTGGCAGGCCTGTTGGGGGGGTTTTGGGGGGGGGGATGGGGGGGGGTCAGGCTGGTGAGTCAGCATCCAAAATGGTCCAATAATTGTGAATATTCTGCAAGGCAAACAAGGAAAAGAGGCTGGCAGCCCAGAGGGACCCTCTCTGCATTCAGGCTTCCTTCACCAGGAGCCTCATCAGCAAATTAGAACATTATTATATAAGTATATGTATTTATATATAATTATACACACACATGTGGAGACTTTTATATATATATAAAACCAAACTAAGTAATAATTTTAATTAGCAATTTTATGATGTTTGTGTGTCTATATTTTTCTTGACTGTACACCGCCTTGAGTCCTACGGGAGAAAGGCGGTATAGAAATATAATAAATAAATAAATAAATAAATCTCCACATGTTTGTGTATAATATTATAATTTTTTTTTCTGTCGAGTCACCTGGTCTACCCCAACATGTGGGAGTGGGCATACTGCATCCCTTTTGCCTTTGAGGCGAATGTGGTTTGTCCTGAATGCGACTGACTGCTTGGGGGTTTCTGGATTGGAGCTGAAAGGCGAAAGGGATGCAGAATGCCCCCTCCCACATGCTGGGGTAGACCAGGTGACTCGACAGAAAAAACACTTAATCTTTCCCCTGGCTCAAGCTGATGAAGGGAGGAGAACTTGTGGCTCAGAGGTTAATACAACTGCCTAACATGCAGGCAGCCCAAATTCGAATCCAAGGAAGGCTTTGGCTAGCTGATGAGAGCTAAATAGCTTGAAATAGATCTATACTAGTCTCCCTTTATTTCTTTATCAGCGAAATATAAATTTATATAAATATATATAAATTTATATAAATATATATAAATTTATATAAATATATATAAATTTATATATATATATATATATATTTATATACATATAAATGTATATATATATATTTACATATATAATGTATGTATACACACACGAATTCATATGCAAACATACATGTGTGTGTTTGTGTACACGTACACACACTCATCTATCATCTGTCTGTCTGTCCGTCCATCCGTCTGTCCATCCATCTAATCTAAATGTATGTGCAGTGCAGGTACCCTCTGGCTGTCTTGGTCCAGAAGGCCACTGCCATCTGGGGATGATGGGATCTCAAGACCTCCCAGATCCAGAATATGCTTGAAGGGAGGGTTTAAACTGCTGCACCTAAGGCCCCCTCTCATCTAAGGGAGCCCCCCCACCACCATCTGGTCCCTAAGGAAGATCTCACTGCGGCTGAAGGAATGAGGCTCCTGGCCCCATCAGAATGTATATTCTCTTGCTTCCACCATCTCCTCTGATAGTTTCAGGGACCCTGAACAGAGATGGGGCTAGATGACCTCTAAGATCCTTTTCCATTCAGATACACTGAGATTCTAGGAGATGGGCACCCATTGCTGTGACAATAGCTAAAAAAAGGGACACTTCATTAAAGCATTCATTCCAAAGGTTTTAAAATACAGCTGAGCCCGCCCGCCCCCCTAAATTTGAAGGGGCTTCTTGGGTGCCAGCATCGGCTGCTTGCTGCAGACCCGGTGCGGCGTTTTGGGGACCAGCAACGGCAGAGCCATCCCTCTGCCACTTTGCTGTCTATCATGGCAGCCAAATTGCAGCGGGCGTGCTGGTTTTGATCCGAGGATTAAAAGCACCCTAAAAATGCAACCCCCTTTTTTGGGAGGGGTGTCTGCCCAGGACGAGAAAAATTCCCATGCCTTGGAGAGGGAAGTGATGCCGCGGAGTTTGTGCATCACAGCAGATTTTGAACACCAGATTGTGCACTCCTGATCATCCTGATTGTTATAAACGCAATGGCGCTCTCTCTCGCTCTCTCGCTCTCACACACACACACAAACACAGAAGGTTCTCCACAGAGGGCACTCTTTGATTCTCTGCCTGATTTTGGCAGGCAAAGCGGCTGTTTTCGGCCACCCGGGCACCTCCCGTTGATCCTGGTGCCTTCGGTTAGCAGCCTCGGAGAAAGGAAAGGCTCCATGGATTTTCCAGGTGCCTTTTTCCCTCTCTTTTGAGCTGCAACCCTCCAGACGGGCCACTGATCAACAGAATAGCATTGTCTGTGCATTGTGCAGCCGTGCAGGGATTAACTGCAGCCTGGCAGCTGGCATTTCGTGCCTGGCTGGGTAAATCTGCCACTCAGCCTTATGCCCTCTTTGCACGGCTCCAGTTTATGGATCTCTGCCAAGGGCTGGCTTTTGTTTCCTCTCCCCAGTATATATTTATATACCTATATATATATATATATTTAATGTTGGTGCTGAGAATTTTGCAGAGAATATTAAGAATACGTTTGTCAAGCCCGCTTGCTCCCTTCTGCCTTTGTTAGCACTGAGACACCCTTTGGCAGGCTGCATCGTATCTGCCCAGAATGCATTGGAAGAGCGGTTTGTTTGCGACTCAGAGAACTGGGAATTAAACCGGGATTTGAGGCTCGGGGGAGCCCATTTTATGTATTTATTTTAGCGACTTCATTTGTAGCATCTCTGCCCCGCCATGCTGAAGTGATGACTCTTGGTGATTTGCAGGCTAGATCAATAAAAATTAAAAACTTCCAGTTGAAATCGATTAAAACACAAATGGGAAGCAATAAGTGCAGGTGCCTCCATATAGAAGCATGGACACACACACATACACAAACACAAGGGCAGGACAGGGCAGGGAGAGGAATGAGGGAGGGTTAGGGAAAGGAAAGAATGAAGAATAGGGAAGGAAAGATGGGGAAGGAAGGAAGGAGGGAGGGTTAAGGGGAAGGAAGAAAGGAAGGAAGAATAGGGAGGGAGGGAAGGAAGGAAGGTGGCATGAGCTATAAACTTGAGGAATTCCCCTCTGAAATAAATCAGTTTTGGAAAATTTGCAGGGAACTGAAAAGGAGGGGGGCCAGCTGGTGGTGATTGATGGTTGGGTGAGAGACAAAAGTCTCGCCCCCGTCCCATCCGTGCCCTTTGGTTTTAACATTTAATTTATTTCTTTGTGGCTCACCTCAATGTTAATGTTAATCTTTCTAGCCTACGTTTTTATACCATGGTGAGCCGCCCAGAATAGCGGGATGGGTGACAGATAAATTCCATAAAAGCAGTGTTTCTCAACCTTCGAAGCTTGAAGATGGGTGGACTTCAACTTAATTACTTTTCCTTCCAAAGATATTTTCTCTGCTTTCCAATGTTGTGCATGAACAATCCTTGCAGCTGTTATTACAAGAATATTCCTCCACCTGACGGGCTTTTTCTTCTCTTGGTAGTGCAAGCTGGAACTTGTTGTTGGGAGCCCAGCCTCGTGCATGGAACTCGA